TTTGCTGAACCAATGGTGATCACCACCAGATCCAGATCCATGAATCAGCTTGAAGATAACCCACCATCAAGAGAGGAGGAGGTTGCTCCTCAACCAATCAATCTTGCCCCAAATGCGCAGCAGATGCTCGAAACCATACAACAACTTCCGTCCCAAAACCAGCAGATCTTGCAACTGATGCTCGCTGGACAAGGAGGAGCACAGCCTGGACCTCAAACTCGAGGAGCTCTACGCCCTAGGCATCAAGGAGTTCCCCACATGAGTGTTCCTCATCTGGGCGCCCCCTTTGGAGCCCCACTAGGCGTCCAGCACAGGAGAGCTCCCCACGAGGGACATCCAGCTCCCCTTTCTCATGGTAGAGACCTTCTCTTCCAAAAAGATGAGGGTGAGAACTAGCATAGGAGAGACCAACCTCTGAAGAGAGTCTTGGGAAAACCAGATGTATCTGGGAGACTCCTAGAGTGGGCAGTGGAACTTGGGGAGTTCGACATTCAATACCAACTAAGGGCGGCCATCAAAGCACAAACATTAGCAAATTTTGTTGCTGAGCTTATACCAGCAGAAGAAGAGGAGAATAATGAGGCAAGCGCCCAAGACAGCACAGGTGCCCAGGCACACAGGGCAGGCACCCAGGCCCTTTCTAGAGACCAACTTTCCTCTCCAGGCGCCCTGCTCTCCTCTCTTGGCGCCCTGCTCTCCCTTCCTAGAAACCAACTCTCCTCTCCAGGTGTCATGCTCTCCTCTCATGGCGCCCTGCTCTCCCTTCCTGGAGACCAGCTCTCCTCTCCAGGTGCCTTGTTCTCCTCTCCTGGCGCCCTGCTCTCCCTTCCTGGAGACCAGCTTTCCTCTCAAGGCATCTTGCTCTCCTCTCTTGGCGCCCTGCTCTCCTCTCTTGGCACCCTGCTCTCCTTTCCTAGAGACCAGCTCTCTTCTCCAGGCGTCATGCTCTTCTCTCATAGCACCCTGCTCTCCCCTCCGGGAGATCAGCTCTCCTCACCAGGCGCCCTACCTTCCTCTCTACCACCAGAAGCCCGTCACCCACCTGTTTAGCATAAAGCAGGACCGTGACGAGAGCTTAAGGAGTTACCTCAGTCGTTTTAACAAGGAGGCCCTCTAGGTTGAGGAGCCTGATGACAAAGTAGCAATGACCATCTTCTTGGGAGGCCTCCGCTCGTCAAACTTCCTCTTCTCAGTTATGAAGCGACTACCTAAGAGCATGCCAGCACTATTGGCAAAAACTCAAAAATATATGAATGCTGAAGAAATCAACAGGTTTGAGTGAGGTGAATCATCTCGTGAATCTCCAAAAACTTGACCTCATCATTGTTCCCAACACAGGCAACCTACATCCCAAGCTTAGTGGTTCTCTCGCAGGTAGCCAAAAGTTTGGCCTCTGCACTGTTCTCAAACAGGTAGCTTACATCCCTAGCTTAGCGGCTCTCTCGCGAGTCGTCCTAAAGCTTGGTCTCTGCACTGTTCTCAAGCAAGCAGCCTACATCCCTAGCTTAGTGGCTTTCTCGCGGGTCGCCCAAAAGCTTGGCCTTTGCACTGTTCTCAAACAGGCAGCCTATATCCCTAGCTTAGCGGCTCTCTCGCGGGTCACCCAAAAGCTTGGCCTCTGCACTGTTCTCAAACAGGTAGTCTATATCTCAAGCTTAAAGACTCTCTCATGGGTTGCTAAAAGACTCGATCTCAAAAGGAGAAGCTCTCTCACGAGCAGTCTTCAAACTCTATCTTTGCTCTCGCGCAAGCAGCCTACTTTTCTCCAGGTAATTATGTTAGATATTTTAAATATTTAGAATAACATTATTTTTGTCATCTCTAGTCAGGATCTTGAAACTCAGGTTGTCTACAACCCGAGGGATTACCTTAGATTGAATGTCAACAATCGGGGCCTCATCCATCTAGCACTCAACGCCTGAGATGCTTAGCTAGCGGCGCCAAGCAGTGTCTGACCCCCTCTATTAGCGCCTGGAGGGGCGCCTAACCCTTTGTGCTCACCCAAAATGGTGCTTTATGGCACTTGCACACCAAGACCAGCCCTGTTTCCTCCTCCTTGCTCGCCTGGATTAGCAACTAAGGCATACCCATGCTCGTCCAAGATGCCAAGCACAACATGTTGTTCACCCAAACGGCCCTGCACAACAGGATGCTCGTCTAACTGGTTCGTGCATACAACAACACCAAGGCGCCCATCGATGCACTCCCCAGAGCTACTCCACTTGCTCGAGGGCTCCGTGCTCGCCTGGGTTGCCACAGCCTGGGTGCCCTGCACTTGGGCCTCGACGCCCAATCCCTGACCAACAGAAGTGCTTGCCCAACACCCCTCCTTACAGCCTGCATCCAAGTCTTGCTCTCCCAAGGCATGATCGTCCAAGCTCTGCTCGCCTACAAGACTGCCCAACACAACGGGAGCCTCCCTGGTTTGCTTGCCTAGATCACCAAGCCTGCCTAGACCACCAGCCTCATAAACAACCCATTCACCCAAGGCCTCCGTTGCCTCGCCAACATGGGTGCCCAGCCCTCACCCAGTAGCCAGTCCTGCGAGCCATGCACCTCCATCTCTTCTCCAGGGAACAACATCAACATTTCCAAGTTGCACACCAAGATTTGCAGACCTTAACACATGATCTCCACCATTTGACATTGTTCGAAAAAAAAAAAATGAATGAGGGAGTTTATATAGTCAATGGAGTCCTACAAGAAAAAGGAGTCTATTGGAAGGGAGGAGGTCGTCGATCAAGGGAAGTTTTCAAAACATTCAGATTTAAAAAGAGTTGTACGTTATTTTGACCGTAACTCTTGATCTAAAACTCAAAACAAGATTTATTATATACCAAATCGAAGCTCTTGACGAGCTGAGCAAAACTCATTATCTACGATAATGAGATTTTCAAAAAAGGTTCAAAAAGCGCCCAGAAAGAGGTGTTTTGGCCTCCTGAAGTTTTTTTTAAAAAAAATTCAGCTAGCCCAAGAGGCTTTCTGCTCGCCCAGCACAGTATGTGCCCGCCTAGAAGTGGTCTACTCGCCTAAAACCATGCACTTAACTCTGGCTCAAAGTTTTGACCGTAATTTTTGCTCTATTGCTCAAAATGAGGCTTATAATATATCAAATCGAAGCTCTTTGTGAGCTCTACAATATTCACAACCTATGCTTATAAATGATGTTGTTAAAAGTCCAAAAAATGCCTATAAACGGATATTTTGGCCTCTTAAAGTTTTTTCAATTATGCCGGTCAATTAACAATTCAAATTCAACTTCAATGCCCTCCTATCCAAGTTCTGTTGGACGTAGGGCATTGGGGGGCAAATGATGGGCCATACCCAACCCATGTTATAAGCTTGGTTCGAGCTAAATGCTCAATTCCAAGAGATTCAGCTACTCAAGTCCAAAGGAATCTACACCCGGATAACCTTATCAAGATCAAGGAGCTACATCAGCAGGGGAGCATACACGGTCATCCAAGAGCCTCATCTACCACCTTGGAGTAAAGGTCATCCAAGGGTCTCTTCTACCACCTTCGAGTAAGGGTCATCCAAGGGTCTCCTCTACCACCTTAGAGTAAGGGTTATCTAAGGGTCTCCTCTACCACCTTGGAGTAAGGGTCATCCAAGAGCCTCCTCTATGCCACCAAGGGAGTATCTAGGAGCCTCACCCTCGTAGCTTGGAGAAAGTCAACCTCCCTCACCATTGAACAAGTCCTTTGGAGAGCACATCAACCGTCACACCTCGCCCGTTGAGAAGATGATAGGTCGTCTCCGCCAGATCAGCTACCTAATTACGATCAAACGGTCCTAAGCCATTATGACCGTCAGACAAGTCATACAATTACTATGTCAAGCCACTATAAATTGTAAGCTCCCCCAACACTGGGGGGCATCAGACTCATTTGATTATAATTCTCTCATCCTCTCTCAAAGTTCGTAATCATTTGCTCTCCTTTCACATCGGAGATAATAAAATTCCGGCAAACCTAATCATTCAAAGTGGACGTAGGCCACGGCCGAACCACTATAAACCTTGTCTTCTATTTCTTTCTCTCTACTTTACTTCATTTCATGTTACTTAATTGACTAGTGGTGTGTAAACCGATATGTGCATCATCAAGTTTGTTTTCTTTAGTGCCACAAACAACTCCTTTCTATTGTTCGAAAGAAAAACTATTAAAGTTTTCTATTCAATTAAAAGGATTTTAATAATTTAATATTATTTAGCAGTTTGTAAAATAATTATAAAATTATCGCTTGTTCAGTTAAAATGTATTTTAAATCTATCTTTTTAATATGAAAGCGTGTTTACAAATCAAGTACTATAGGTTCAAAATTGATACGCAATTGCAAATCTTATATTGTGTTGCGATGCAAAAATTCCTACGCGCTTCGTTTCCTCATTACGACTTATCTTTTGATTTTTTTTTAACATAATTTGTTTTGATCCTTTTTCCAATTGGCCGCCCATCACGTGCATCCCACGGAATACCACTAATTTTGTAACTACAAAGAAGTTAATAGGTATACCGTCTTTGCCTACATAACTCAAACTCAATAACGTATCCAACAATTTTGTTTAGCGTAGGTATCTGTTAGATTTTTTGAAAAGTTAAAACAATAAATTTTTATAATTCAGAAGTATGCATAGCTGTTAATATTATAATAATTTTTTTTTATAAATTTCTTATAAATATGTCTCTTTCTTTCACACAATTTTTCACACCTTGAGGCATAGGGTCTTGCTGATAAAGAAAAATTTGTATTTTTATTAAACGTATATTTTATGATACAAACTCAAAATTTTGACATTTCATGATTTTTGACATGAAATTTGGCTACTGTAATATCTCTAAAGTTGAAACACACCAGTCTGTAATAACTTATGCAAGTGAGGTTCGAAATGAAACCCTTTTCCCCCTTTCTCGTCTTCTTCCTCCTCCTTCCAGAAATCCTTCTCAGATCTCCCCTCCCTTGATTTCTCTGCCTTTACTCCACTCTCACCTTCTCCTATGGACCCCACCCACCCAGATTTGCTCCCCACAATCTCAGACAAGGGTATTAAATTCCCTAACCCTTTACCCAAGATTGCCCCACTCAAAGAGAAGGGCATCGACCCATCTACCACCAATGAATGCCCTTCTCTACAAATCACAATGGATCTAGGAAAGGAAATAGAAGAAGGTCAGCTGGTTACCGAAGATTTCGGCCAAAAAGATCCCCCCGTTCAAAATAACCGATCCCCTGTTTCCAACCCAAATGACTCTATTTCTTCAAAGCTTAATCACCCTTTTGTCCCGAGCCAACCTAGACCACAAGACCAAAGTAACCCCAACCCAAGATCCACTTGGAGCCATATCGTGAAATCTGGAAATGTTCAAGGAGCTGAAGTTCAAACTCAGGTGATGAAACTCAAGTATTATGAGCCTAGAAGGGAAAAGGAAAGGGTGGTTGTTCAACCTCCTAAAGAGGTAGGAGAAAATGGTAGTTTGGAATGGCAACATTGTTTGGTTGGTAATTTCATCGAAAGAAAGCTTCCCTATTCCTCTGTTAATTTCATCGCTAACAGAAATTGGGACAAGTTGGGGCTTCTTGAAGTTCTTGCATATGACAGGGGATTTTATTTCTTCAAGTTCATAAGTGAATAAGCAAAAAATTATGTGTTTGAAGTTGGGCCTTGGTTATTCTCTGGAAGACCATTGATTTTGAAAAACTGGAATCCAGGGCTTATTCTCTCCAAAGAGGACCACTCCATTATCCCCTTAAGGAGTAAGCTTTTCAATGTTCCATTACAATTTTGGACAGATGGGGTTTAAGCCACATTTTCAGTGCGGTTGGGCGTCATATTCATGCCGACTCTCTTACTTCCTCCAAACGTAGGTTGAACTTTGCTAGAATTTGTGTGGAAGTCAGTGCAAACTGCCAGCTCATTGATTCTTTCGACCTCGAAATGGAGATCAATGGCAATATTGAAAAGGTTGAAATTTCTGTTGAATACTAATGGAGGCCAAAAACTTGCCACTCATGCAAAATGTTTGGTTACTCTGACTCCACTTATCCCCAGATGGCTACCGCTACCGCTACCGCTTGGAAACCTAAAAACCTCCCACAGAAGCCTGAAAATTCCAGAAGTGCGGAGGGGAAATCCATTATTTTCACAGTGGAGTTTGTTTCTCCTGAACTCCCTACAATTAGTGCTGTTGCAGATGTCAATCCCATAACCTCCACACAAGCACAAGAGCAGCAAATCACTCAAAATTTCTTAGAGGCTTTGCCTCCATCCCAAAATGAACAAGATTCCCAGGTATACTCTATACTTGAATCTACTTGCATGCTTCCAGCACATCCCTCACTCCAATCTCCAAATAGTTTTGAAAGCCTCCAGGTTCAAGAAGGCCAATTGGTTGTTGATATCGGCCCTTCAACTAGGAAACATTCCATTGAATCTCATCAATTGAACACAAAAGGAAATAGTACCAAGAAGAAGAAGGGTAAGAAAAAACATCCTATTACAGGGAGGTTGAGGATGTTCTGAGTTTTTGAGACTCAATTTTTTGAATTTTTTTTTTGTTTCCTATGTTTAACATTGCTGCTTGGAATATTAGGGGACTAAATGACCCCTTAAAGCAAGTTGAAGTGAAAAAATTCATTTTTGAAAATCATCTTGACATTTTGGGCATTGTTGAGACCAGAGTCAGAAATATTAACAAAGAAGCCATTAGAAGAAATGTTTTCAGAAATTGGGTCTTTTTTGCAAACTATGATAGCCACTCTCTTGGCAGGATCTGGGTTGGATGGAATACTGCTACATTAACTATCAATATTGTTTCCCATATGGACCAAGTGATTCACTGTGAGGTTGTCCATAATGATAGTAGGACAAGAGCTATCATCTCTTTCATTTATGGTGCTAATGATGACTATGAGAGAAGAAGACTTTGGGGTGATTTAAGATTCCATTCTAGCTCTTTTAGCTCCCTTCCTTGGTTGCTTATTGGTGATTTCAATGCTTTGAGAAGTATCCAAAAGCATCAAGGACATGACATTAGATGGAATCAATCTATTCAGGACTTTAATGACTTGGTGAATGATGCTGAGCTTCTGGAATTGAGGTTTTCTGGGATCCTCTTTACTTGGTCTAACAAAAGAGACAACAAAAGAGACAGAGAAGGTTGCATTGCTAGAAAGATTGACAGGGCCTTGGGTAATGATACTTGGATTCACAATATGGAAAGAACAATGGTTGAGTTCCTTCCCCCAGGAATTTCTGACCATACTCCTGTTTTTATAAAAATTGGAAACCCCCCCCCCCAAAAGAAGAATAGCCCCTTCAAATTTTTCAATTTTCTGGCAGAAAGAGAAGATTTTATTCCTACTGTTGCTTCTATTTGGAGTGTATATTTGCAGGGATCTTACCAATACAGAGTATGCAGCAAACTAAGGATGCTCAAAATTGCCTTCAAAGTCAAAAGCAAAGAAATTGGTGATTTGTCTAGCCTAGTGAAAGAAAAGAAAGCAGCTCTTGATCATTGCCAGAGGAAGCTTGACATGAATCCATTAGACTCCCTCACAAGACAAGAGGAAAAAGTTCTTCTTGCAGAATATGCCCAAGCAGCCAGAAATGAAGAATCCTTCCTAAAGCAAAAATCTAGGGTCCTGTGGCTCAAAGAGGGGGACCACAATTCAACCTTTTTCTTCAAAACAAGGGCCAATAGAAGGAATAGGAAAAGAATTTTTTCACTTCAGACTTCTGATGGCTCCACAGTTGAAGGGGAAGAAGCTGTGGGTAACGAGGCTATCAACTTCTACAAAAATCTTCTGGGAAAAACTAGATGCACCATTCCCACTCAAGAAAGGAAATCCTTCTTTGAAAGTCTGGATCTTGGCAAGCTTTCTGACCTTCAAGGGTTTCATTTAGTTAGGGATGTTGAATCTGTTGAAATCAAAGAGGTCTTCTTTTCCTTCAATGACATGAAAGCCCCTGGTCCGGATGGTTTTAACGCTCATTTCTTTAAGAAGGCTTGGCCCATCATTGGAGAGGAAATCACTGAAGCTGTTAAGGAATTCTTCAAGCATGGTAACCTCCTTTGGGAACTTAATTCCACCATGCTTGCTCTTGTCCCTAAGGTTTCAAACCCCACAACTATGGGGGATTTTAGGCCAATTTCTTGCTGCAACTTGCTCTACAAAGCTATCTCCAAAATCATGGCCAATAGAGTTAGAGAAATCCTTCCACAAATTATCAGCCACAGCCAAACAGCTTTCATACCTGGGAGGAAAATAGGGGATAACATCATGCTTGCTCAGAAACTCCTTAGAAACTACCACAAAAATGATGGGGCCCCTAGGTGTGCAATCAAAGTCGACATCATGAAGGCCTTTGATTCTTTGGACTGGGGTTTTCTACTTGATGCCCTTGAAGCTTTCGACTTCCCGAAAAACTAAGAAAATGGATTCATTCTTGCATTTCCTCCCCCTCTTTCTCTATTAATATTAATGGTGGTCTTGTAGGTTACTTCCCAAGCTGCAGAGGTCTTAGGCAAGGCGATCCTCTATCACCTTACCTCTTTGTCATTGCCATGGAGATTCTCAATGTAATTATACAACAACAAGCATGCTCTAACCCCCAATTCAAATTTCATTGGAGATGCAAGAAATTGAAGCTTATTCAACTTTCCTTTGCTGAAAACCTTCTCCTCCTTTGTAAAGGTTGTTTTCATTCTGTCAAAATTCTTAAGGAAGCTTTTGATCTTTTTTAGAAAATTTCAGGACTCCAAACTAATCCCTCTAAAAGTGAGATCTTCATGATAGCCATTCCCCAAGATACTAGGCTACAGATCATTCAGTTGTTAGGCTTCTCTGAGGGCCAACTTCCTGTTAGATATCTTGGAGTTCCTCTTGTCTCCTCTAGACTCAAAGCTACCCACTGCTCCCTATTGATCGAGAAGATTGTTGCAAAGGTTGGGAGCTGGATCAATAAGTTCCTTTCTTTTGCAGGAAGACTCCAGCTAATTCAGTATGTCCTATCTAGCATTCATATCTTCTGGGCTTCCAACCTTTTTATTCCACAACAAGTCCTTGATTCCATTGAAAAAATTTTGAGGTTTTTTTTATGGAAAGGTACTGATTTGAAATCTACCGGGGCCAAGGTTGCATGGATGATGTTTGTAAGCCTAAGAAAGAAGGGGGTTTGGGAATCAAGAAACTCAAGGACTTGAATTCTACCCTTATGTGCAGATACATTTGGCTCCTCTTCAATGATAATCAAAGTCTCTGGGTCAAGTGGATTCATACATATCATCTCAAAGGAGGAAGAAAGAATATTTGGGAGGTAAAGCCTCCCCAAATATGCTCATGGAACTGGCTTAACCTACTTAAGCTAAGAGATACTCTCAGACCCCACATCTATCATATTATTGGGAATGGAGAAAGCACTCACTTGTAGTTTGACAATTGGCACCCCCGAGGTCCTCTTCAATCCATATGTAACACTAATGTTGTGGAAGATTCTGGAATTCCCTTTAATGCTAAGGTAAGATCTATTGTGGTTGGCAACCATTGGAACTGGCCTTCCACCATCTCCCCTCAGCGTTTGGATATCTCCCTCCCCATGCCTAATTACCTTCCATCTCCACTTAGAGAGGACAAAATCAAATGGTCTCCCTCCCCAGGTGGTACCTTTTCCACTTCCTCAGCCTGGAATCTCTTTAAATCCCCATCCTCATAAGTCCATTAGCAACACCTTATCTGGTATAGCCAATCAATCCCTAAAATGTCCTTCATTTGTGGCTTGCCATCAGATCCAGACTTAGCACCAAAAACAGAATCCATTCTTTTTCTGCTGATATTAGTTTGAAATGCTCTCTTTGTAACTCATCACCCGAGTCACATGCCCACTTATTCTTTAAATGCGACTTCTCTCATTCTATCTGGGCTCAATTACTACTCCTTAGTGGGCAGCAAATGCAAAACATGTCATGGCAGGGGATCATCAACTATGCAAGCCAGCATTAGAAAGGTAATTCTATGTGCACTACCCTCCTAAAGCTTAGTTTTGTTGTTTCTATCTATTACTTTTGGATGGAGAGAAACATTATAATTCACCAAGGCAAGTCTAGGGACCACTCCTCCCTCCTCACTCTCATTGTCCAAACCATTAGAGATAGATCTGTTTCTCTCAGATTCAAGCCCACCAACAGTAACCTGCGACTTGCTCAAGTGTGGCAGATCCCCAATAGTTGTTTGGACTATTCTCTTCACTAATGCATTTTGTTGGAAGTCTGGACAATCATCCTCACTTCCCCCAAAATTCTATAGTTTGGCTCTTATTGTTTGTAAGAGAATTCACCCTGTTGTATCTTGTCCTTTTGTATCAATAGAATCATTTACCTTCCGGGAAAAAAAAGTAATATCTCTAAAGTTAACGTTGGCCTAGTTTGCTAAACTCCTCGCAAGGCCGTCAATATTAGTTTATGGATCTAATCTCACTATACTTTTAATCCTCAAAAAGGTTAAAAACATTATCTTTATCTCTAATGCATATTCGCATCCACTGATCTCCTATTCAAACTATTTGAGGCAAAACCATGCAATGTATCATCCCATGACTTATGTGGTTTGAAATAAAAATTTGGTGAAGTGGCTGAAGCAAGACCTTTGGGTACATCTGAGGGGCTAATGACTCCCTTCATGCACCAAGAGGTGCTAGGTTCAAATTTCCTCTCCCCATGTAATAGCTTGAACAAAAGAAAAAAAGTAGCTGAAGCCTTTGTTTGACGTAACGTAATGGTGACTTGCGTGGGTGATCGATGCTTGTTGTTGGCGGAGTTTAGAAATTCGATATCCCCAAGGATTAATTTGGTATAATAAATCAGAAAAACGAGTATGATAAATTAGAAAGGCCGGTTCAAGCTACTGTTGACAGTTTCTTTTATTTCATGTTTGAGCTAGCTTTGTTTTCTTTCCCTCTCTTTACACTCTGTTCATGCAACATCTCCACAATTTTGGCCATCCCAAGGTTTAAAATCATTAATCTAGTGCTATATATGGAAATGGAATGAAATGTACATTATAATTTCAATATTTGATAATAATTAGGTTGAAATAAAATTAAAAATCTACTCAAATATTTAGATAAACTCTAGACTCAGATTTGGACCCAATGCTGGACTCAGACCTACTTAAACCCATGACCCAAACCTAGACCTTAACCTAGACACAGACTGGATCAGACCTAGACCCCGACCCCCACCTGACACTAGACCCAACTTGGACTACTATTTTGACTCAGACTCAAACTCAAACCTGAACCCCGAGCAAGACTTGGACCGGACTAGACCCCGAACAGGTCCCAACCCTGGACAACGAGTAGTGGGATGGTGGTGATGGTAGCGACGAGTGTTGATAGTTGGCGATGAGTAATACCACAAAATATTAAGGAATGACAATCCTACACTAGTGGAATTAGACATTTCATAGTAATGAGAATAAATTTTTGTTACTACATACCAAACATTGGAATAAATATTATTAAAT